TATTATTATTATTATTATTATTATTATTATTATTATTATATAAATTATTAGTTATAGCTTAATTACTAACTTTTTTCTTGATTCATCTGTGAATTTTATAAATTACCAATTTAACAAAAGAAGCTTCTAATATTATGTATATAAAGCTTATGGAGTTGCTAATAAATAAGTGAAGAAGATGAAATTTTAATCTCTTTTAAGAAAATATGAATTATTGTCTATGAATGATTTGGAGCTTATATATCTGATTTTTTCAATCGAATTCAAACTCCTTTTAATCTGATGAATATTGTAATGAGAAATTTATAGATCAACATATTGTAGATAAGGCACTGAGAACTTTGACACCTCATTTTGATCTATTGTAGTGGCAATCGAGGAGTTCAAAGATCTTGAGACGATTAAGGTAGATGAGTTTTAGAATCCCCTTGAAGCCTATGATCAATAGAGACTAAATGAAAGAAGGAATGATGAAAAGATTCATGAACGAATCATGTTGGCTCAAACTAACTATAAGAAGAAAGGTGCAAGTTGTTAGAACAAGAAATAAAAGACAAGTGGAAAGTTTCCAAAAGTGGCAAAGCCAATGACTCATCAAATAGTCAAGATTAGTGTCAAATGAAGCATGATCAAGCTGAGTCTGCAAAAAAAAAAAAAAAAAAGAAAGAAAGTTCCAATTCAACGAAATTGGGGGGAAAAAAGTTTGATAGGAAGAAAATATAGTGCTACTATTGTAAAAATTAGGAGTATTTTGTAAAAGAATGAAAAAGTGACGGAAGGAAAGAGAAAGTTTAATGGTAAAATATATCTTGCTCAAAATAAAGGATCAAATTTTGATCAAGCGTTGTTGATGGTAGCCACAAATTATGATGATGAAAATTCTGAATCTTCTTGACACTGGTTATTCAAATCATATGATTGGACATAAATATTGATTATTTGATTTTAGTGTAAATGTCAATAATAAGATAAAATTTGCATAAAACAATCCCATTACAACATAAGGAATGAAAAAAGATTGTGATCAAGAGAAAGGATGAAAATTTGCGTGTGGCTAATGTTTTGCATGTACCATCAATGAAGACTAATTTACTGAGTTTGGAAATTTTTCTAGAGAATGGTTTCTTAATGAGTATAAAGGAAAATAATATAAACATATTTGATTTGAAGCATAAATTGATTAAAGACTTCATTGTCCATGAACAGGACCTTCAAAGTGAATCTTTTGAATGTTTCACGGGTGTAAGGTTTGTTAAGAAAATGGTGATTGGGATACCTTCCATTAAACCACTAGAACAAGTTTGTGAAAGGTTCCTTGTGTGTAAGAAACCAAGGAAAGCTTTCAAATCTTATGCACCTTCTCAAGCAAGACAATCACTAGAAGTGGTCCATTTAGGCATATGGTGGTCCAATTGAGATCCATCATTGGGAGGTAATAAATATTTCATGACATTTTGTGATTGATCTCACTAGAAAGGTGTTGCTATGTTTAGTTAAAGAAAATAGTGAAGTATTTTTTTAGTATTTGTGAAATTTTGTGCACTAGTTGAGAAGCAAAATGGTCATTAATGTGGACATCAAAACTCAAGCCCATGAAAAGAATGATCAGCAAGACCAAGCCTATGGTGAGAAGCATCAAGGTCAAGACCCATTTCAAAACTTAGTTGGACCCATGACCAGAGGCAGACTTCGAAAGGTCTAGGAGGCATTGCAACACAAGGTGGCAATCTACTGGAGACCTAATTGTTGAAGGCTCAACACATGGAGGAGACAAGGTTGATTTTATGTATAGCTTGCATGGAGAGCTAGGAGGCCCAATTAGGAGATTTTAATTTTGTTTCTATTTTATTTAAGATCTAAAGTTTGTTTTGGTTTTGTCTTGTAAAAGGCGTTGTAATAAAAAAATATAAAAATAATATGTTAGAGCTAGGAGTTAAACCCAAGGTTGCAAGCATAGAATGTCATCTTGTAACCACTGGGCTTACTAGTTTTAGATGTCATTTAGATATTTTTATTTTCTTTTATTTACTCTAAAATGAGGCAAACCCATAAACTAAATTTATATTAGTCCTTTTGGATTCCATATGGAAAGTGACATTTGATCATTTTCTAAATTATGAGTTTTAATTCTGCTAAGGTTCTTCCTTGCATCTTTTGATCTTATCAAGAATTCTTCGATTCTTCTGGCGATTCTCAGGCTTATCAAATGACCTTGTTTGTCGCACCTTCCCTTCCCTTCCTTTTGTGTTTTCTTCATTTTAAATTTGAATGAAATTCTCCAATTCCAACTGAATTCCCAATTTTGAGTCACATCATTTGGTATCAGAGCAAGGTTCGAGTTCACTGTTCATATTTATCTGCAATTTTTATCTGCATATTGCTTTGCGTCTATCATCTTTTGAATTTGGAATAGGAATTAAGCTAAGTTAAAAAAAATTACTTGGTTGTGCAAATTTGAAATTGATAAAAAAAAGTACGTGGTTGTGCAATTCTGAAATTGATAATAAAAGAAATTACCTGGTTGTGCAATTCTAAAATTGACAACAAAAAAAAAGAATAGAACAAAAAAAATATATAGCGTTGTTTTATCCTATGCACACTACTTGTTTAATAAAATTCCTAAGTATCAATTGTCTTCTTTGATCACTGTTTTCCATATAATTTTGTGTCTATCTTACTTGTTTGTTGGTAGTGGAATTGTTCTTTGTTACTTTTCGTTTGTTTGGTGTTAAAATTATATTGTTTGAGCCTTGTGATTACTATCCTGAAAAGGTAAATTTTGATTAAAGATTGCTTGATTCTTGTAAGAACCTTGAGTTACAGAACAATCAAAAAATGGCAAGAGAGAACAATTATAGAAAAAGCCATTAAAGAGAGAACTAAACACGAGTGGCATATCTTTGAGTGTAAACATGTGAGAAGTGTGGTGAGGTTCTTTACTGTCACTTTTGTTTCTTTGGCTTAAATTATGGTAGGAGCAGGTGGTGGTAACCCTCCTAATTTGGATGGAGCTCAAAGATTGTTACTTAATGCTATGATTGCAAAAATGCAAAGATTGATGACGCAAAATAATGAAGATCTCTATGAGAGGATTGAAGGAACTGAAAATCAACCAAATCAAGATGCTGGAGGTAATAATGGAAATAGAAGAGCCAAAAGAGGTTTGGGAAAATCACCAACAAAACCTAATACATCAACTTCAAACATGGGGACTAGAAACATCAAGTGCTTCAAATGCTTGGGTAGAGGACACGTTGCATCTGAATGTCCTACTAGGAGAACAATGATCATGAAGGATGATGGGGAAATTATTAGTGAATCATCAACTAGTGAATAAGAAGAAGAAGAGGAGGAGGAGGAGGAGATAGAAGAGGAACCAATACAAAGTGACATATTGATGGTTAGAAGGCTACTAGAAAGTCAAATGCAATGATTGCAACAAAACCAAAGAGAAACTAACCCACATCCTAGGCCGTACAAACTTTAATGGCTTAGTGAAGATAGAGAGATGATGGTGAGCCAACAGGTGGAAGTGTGTTTCTCAATTGGAAGGTACAATGATAGGGTGCTATGTGATGTGGTTCCAATGGAGGCAAGTCATATCCTTTTAGGAAGACCATGGCAGTATGACACCAAAGCAATATATGATGGATTCACCAACAAAATTTCTTTCAAGCATAATGATCAGAAAATTGTTCTAAAACCGTTATCTCCTAGAGAGGTTTGTGAGGATGAAATAAAAATGAGAGAAAAAAGAGTGTAAGATAAAAGAGAGAAAAGTGAAACACTTGAGAGAAAGAGTGAAACACCTAAAAAGCATAGAAAGAAAAAGAGTGAAACACTTGAGGGCAAGAGTGAAATACTTCATAGGAAGAGTGAAACAAGTGAGGTCAAGTTGAGTGGGTTAGCCAAAGTGAATGAGGTGAAAAAGATGTTTTTCGCACACAAACCCTTGTTCTTGATTTACTACAAGTGTAACACCTTGATTTCTGAAAATTCTAATCCAATTGTAATTCCTTCTAGCATTGAACAAGAATTTCAAGATGTGTTCCCAAAGGAAGTGCTAAGAGGATTACCACCTATAAGAGGAATTGAACACCACATTGATCTTATTCCAAGAGAATCTCTGCCTAAAAGGCCAACCTATAGAAGCAACTCTCAAGAAACCAAGGAATTTCAAGCTCAAGTGAAGGAATTGGTAAATAAATGATGGGTGCAAGAAAGCATGAGCCCATGTGCTATCCCAGTCATATTGGTGCTTAAAAAGAATGGGTCTTGGAAGATGTGCACAGATTGTAAGGCGATCAATAATATCACCATCAAGTATAGGCACCTCATTCCCAAGTTGGATGATTTTTTGGATGAACTATATGGTGCTTGTGTATTTTCTAAAATCGATTTAAAGAGCGGGTACCATCAAATTAGGATTAGGGAGAGGGATGAATGCAAAACTTCCTTCTATAAGAACCGCAGTTCTTCCTCCTTCCCCGCAACACTCTCTTTTCTCCTCATTCCCTATTTTATTCTCTCATTTCAACTTTCTGAGTTTCCTTGTGATATTGAAGGTGCTGCGTAGAAGTGTGGGTAGCTAGTCAAAAGCGCGGACCTTCTCCTTCTTCTTCTTCCTCTCCCGAAGCTCGGATTCTACTTCTCTAAGGTAAGGGAAGCTAGATTGTATGTTGTTTGATTGTAAGTGAGTTTAGGAACTCAAATGATGCTTGAATTCAGAGGATTCATGGTTGGATTGAAGAGTTTCTCATTTTTTTGGGGTTTTGGGAAAAATGGGGTTTTTGATGATTTTGATGCCTTGAGAAGTTGGATGTTGAATCTGAGGTTGTTTCTGAGTTGAATGAAGTCTATGAATTTCATTTCATGGATTGCATGTGGTTGAAGTTGCTGATTTTCAAGTTTTGAAGGAATTTTCGAGGTTTTTGGAGGTTTCTGGTTAAACATGCATCGGGCGTAGTTCTTGGCACTGCTCGTGCATTCATCAGGCATTTAAAAAAAAAAAAAATCAACCAGAAACGTGTGGTCACCAACAACACTTAACAGAGTGGATGTGCAGAACAACCTTGTAGCCAGCAATAAAAATAGCCTACACATTTTATATACAGATGTTAATGTCATTAATTAATATATTAAAATATAGAAACTACATCTAACACCCTAATGCCAAGAATGATAAAAAAGAATGCATACATTGTCTAGCAATTCAAAGATCGCCAACTGAGCAACAAACTCAGTAATTGCTGGTACTGGATTAGCTGCAAAAGGAAAACCAACTGACCACATAAAAAAAACCAACCAGCAAATTTGTAACCACGTGTAAACCACACAATATAAATGTAAAGGGTCTAAACTTAATTTATTCGAAAAAGCACATTTGTTGTGGGACAAGGTCCTGTCTGACACCATTCTTGAATCAATACAATTATTTTTAATTGACTATTAATCAACCAATTTTGAATACTTGCCATAATTGATGCATAGGTATCCAACTAAAAACAACACAATTAGTTTATTTGCCTTGGAATTAAAGCCACAAGGTAAATAATGCATTGGTATGGCAACATCTCATGGCATACTAGGCTAAACTTATCATATCAAAATCACAAATAAGATTATAACCACAATTATCCAAATATATATCAGGAGGTGACGCTCCTCTCACAAAATAAAGAAACAATATTTGAAAAAAAAATAGGATTGAGCCAATTATACCAATCATGTTCATATATCTTCCCACCTATGTATTGAAAAAACGTAACACACTTTTGAATGATTTGAATATAGGTAAATTTTATACGGTCTAAAACAAAATTTTATTTATTTGGTTGAATATGTAAGTAAGTTAATTTAATTATAATTAAAATTCATTTACATTTATGTTTATTATGGGGATCCCACAATTAAAAAACAAAAGAATTAAAAGGACAGGAAATATAAAATTCCAACACTCTCAAACAAATAAAAGGTGGATACCTTTCTTCACATTGTAACCAGATTGCTTTAGAAATGGAACCATCTTTGACTCAATTTCATCATACCTAATGGCACACCAAAAGCAAGGAAATCTTATTAAAATTGCATATAAGCAAGCACACAGTGTAGGCTCATCCAAGAGAAATTTTTGTCATAATCAATTTTGTCGTAATCAATTATAATTAGAATAATTTTTGTTTGGATACGTTTGCTAAAAAACAATTTTAAGATATTTAATTTTGTTTGAATACAAAAAAAACATTTTTTATATAGTAAATTACAAAAAAGATATTTACATTGGTGAAAGGGAAAAAAATAGAGAAATTTCCACGCACCAACCCTTAAGATATAGATCATCTTTGAATGCTTAAAAAGGAGTTAAATAAGAAAGACAAAACTTTATAGCAGACCTCAATTGTATGACACCCAAAACTGGTATATTTATAATAGATAAGCGCATGCAAACGAGGAAAATCAAGCAATTGGCAAGGAGCTGGGACAGTCACCAACTACATAACACATTATCAAGGGCAATGTAAATTAGGTGGACAGTTTTAGAATATATTATACAATTACTAATCGTTACAGGCACTTACACAATTATGATGTAGAGTGTATATGCCGATATTAGCAATCAACAGTGCAAAACACAATCAAACCGGCTTACACAAGTAATTATAATAGGCATTACAATGAACCAAAGAAACTTGATATTAGTTTGAGACTCAAATCATTAACTATATAAATAAAACTAAGTATAATTGATTATATTTTTAGGTTGTTCAAGTTAGATTTTCTGCAGCATGCTCATTGAACTAATTAAAGAAAAAAAAAATCAATGGAAGAAAAATATTGTAATGCCTTAAATTGAAACAAAAACACAGAAACAAAGGTAAAGAGGTTGTGCCTGATCAAAAAACAGGGAGACCTTCCTTGAGACTAAGTTGAAAAGTCACGACATGTCACTTTGATATTATTAAATGAAATGCTCAATTTAAGCTTTAACATACCCACAAAATGAAAAGATATAAGCATGCAAACAACAAATGCTCTAAAAAAAACCTCGAATTTATAATATAATAGAAATCCAAAAGTGAAATAGGACTAGGTAGGAAAAAGTATTAGAACATTCTATGCATGGGAATAAAAGTATATAAAATCCTTAGTTTGATAGGATAACAAGATTTATGGTATGTAATACCACCTGTTGCCAGTCCATTTGTGGAAATACTGCATCATAGACAAGAAATAAGCTCCCGTCATAATCTAATCATGACAACCCAAAGAAATTTAGTTTTTAGAAAAGTAACTCACTCTCCAAAAATTATATAATAAGCTAGTTACAAACCTCGTGACGAATAACTCCTAATATTGCAGCATAACCTGCATCAGTAGCTGTTTCTACAAGCCAATATAAGCTTTGAATTAAAAATCTGCAAACAAAAAAAGGAAATTATAAATGTGCAAAGTGAATAAAGATAACCAACAGAGACAAGCTGACAAGAAGGGGACTTACATTGAAGCTCTTGTTTTCCATGGCGCCTCTGTCCAATACAATGTATGTAGGGTCATGTGACTGAAATCTCAAAAAGTAAAAAGGTAAATGAAAATTACATGTTAAAATCTGGGACAACAAGCACATTGAAGAGATCCAGGTCATATTCAAGTCCAAAAACCTGTTCGGAAAGCATGTAACAAGACCGCAAATTTCTTCAGAATTTGAAACAAAATATACTGCAATCAAAGCAACCCATCTGAACAGATCATTTCTCTTATTTTTGTCCTAGCCATCCTTATGTATATATCTTCATCAACTTCAATCAATTCTCTTATGTCAAACAGATCATTGAACCAAAGTAAACCAGGATCTTTGTGTCTAGTAATTTCAATCCTGAAAATTTCACAAACCCATCTCCATGACAACTCAGTGAAGGTCTGCTCACACAACCACTGTAAATATCTTCAGTTATGGGAACAAATCCATCCAAGCAACGACAACCCTAGAATATCACAAAAATCTTAGCGCCAACGACAACCCTAGAATATCACAAGCAACAAAAACAGAGTGTACATCAAGAAAGATGCGTACGCAAGCTGACGCCGCCGGTCCAAAAATCAGTACAGATTTGATTTTGCTTCAAATTTGCTCTAGGTGGATCCCAAGCTCATCCAGGAGCGGCTCCTCGTCGTTGAAGTCGGCACTGTCATCGCCCACGGCGGGGCCGCTATATATTGGCCCAGAGGAGGTGGACGCGGTGGCAGAGCCTATGTCGAAGGACATGAAGGGGATGCTGGAGTTCGGCTGGGGCCGGCGCGACGGGGTTTCCGGCAGAGTGGAAAGCCACCGGCTGGACTTTGAACTCTTTATTAGCCATGAGATTGAGATTTGGTGGGAGGAACTAGGGTTTTTGGAGGAGGGTTCTCGTGAAGAGAAGAGCCCGTGAGACTGTTGAGAGAGAACGTATCTGCGAGAGCTGAGAGAGTACGTGTCTTCTTGCGTGTAAACGTGGTGAAACAATTTTACATCGGTCACTATCAAAACCGACGTAAAATTCTTTATATTTACGTCATTTTTATACTAAACCGATGTAAACATTCTCACATTTTTCATTTAATTACATAACTGCCACCGCGTTCTTCTTTTACATCGGTTTTACTTAAACCGATGTAAATATGCCGATGTTGAATAGTAATTTTGTAGTAGTGAAATGACGTCCTATTTATAGGGGTGAGGCGCAGTACGGCCCCTGGTGTCAATACGGCCCGTATTGAAGTTTTGAACTTCAATACGGCCGTATTGAATTCAATACGGCCGTATTGAATTTTAAAAACATCAATACGGCCGTATTGGTTTCAGTACGGCCGTATTGCAGTTCAAAAATGCAATACGGGCCGTACTGAGCTCCAAAGAGGCCGTATTGAGCTCCACTCCTCTCACTTTCTTATTTTCAGCTACTTTAAGACCTCTAAACCTACAGATAGTCATCTTATGGTCTTCTGGGAGTCCTTCTGGCTGACTTTCCATTGATCTTTGATAGTCTTCGAGTCTTATTTCCGACCCGGACAATTTTAGGGGTCTACAGATACCAATGTTGAATCAACTGTATTTCTTGCTATAAACTTGGCAGGTGGGCTACTATGCCTATGTAACAACAAATGTCTATAGGTAACTAATACTTTTATGGGTCCTTGTTATTTAGTTTTGGAAGGAATTTGGAAGTAGGATGGGCAACACATAGTACTAGTGTACTAGTGAATGTGTATGCTCTATGTGAATTAACACAAAAATGAGAGCTATGGGGACAGTTGAAATAAAAAAAAGCTCAAAGTACTGTAGATAAATGGTGTGTTTTGGTGACTTTAACAGTTTAAGGCTAACCCAAGAGAAACAAGATGTTGCATTTGGAGATCATGAGGCTGTCGATAGAGAGGAGTTTAACTTTTGTGTTTGGAAGGAAATTTACTTGGTATAAGCCTAATGGAATGGCTTGAAGCAAAATGGATAGGTTCCTCATCTCTAATGGTTGGGCGACAACATGGCCAGGAAGTACACAATTCATCTTATCAAGGAATATGTAAGATCATTACCCTATCCTATTGAAGGTTGCTAATATGGAGCAGGGACCTAAATTGTTCAAATCATTAGACTGTTGGTTCCAGGATAAGCATTTCGTGGAATTTGTTCGGAAGGCTTGGTCGGAGATACATGTACAAGGGACAGGGGCATTTGTTTTAAAAGAAAAAATCAAAGGTCTGAAAGGGAAGTTGAAACAATGGCACAACGATAACTTTGGAAATGTACAAAAGTAGCTAAGTCAAGTGGAGGCTTCCTTAGATGAGATAGATATATAAGAAAGCAGATGATAGAGAGTTGAAAGATGTAGAGAGAATCAAAAGAGTACTATTGCAAGAAAATTTATGGACTCTAGCAAAGTGAAATGAATCCATCATCAGACAGAAATCAAAAGTCAAGTGGCTAGCAAAAGGAGAATGTAACTCAAAGTATTTTAACTCAATAGTGAATTGGTGGAGGAAACAGAATATGATTAGGGGATTGAAAACTGCAGGTGTGTGGGTGGTGGAACCACAACAAGTTAAAGAAGAAGTAAGGAATTACTTTAAAGATCGATTCTCGGAAGGAGGTTGGAGAAGACCAAAAATGGATAGGGTTGTTTTTAATCAAATAATAGAGGCAGATAATGATGATCTAATAAAAGTCTTTCAGGATTCAGAGATAAATGAAGTACTGTGAGAGTGTAATGGAAGTAAAAGTCCTAGTCCAGACAGATTCAATTTTAAGTTTATCAATTAATGTTGGGACGTATTGAAGGAGGATATCATCAGATTTATTAATAAATTTCATATGTTTGGGAGACTTCCAAGAAGGTCAAACTCGTCCTTCATTGCACTTGTGCCAGAAAAAGTGAACCCCCAATAACTAAGTGAGTACAGAACTATCTTGCTCATTGGCTGCCTGTATAAGATTCTGGCCAAATTGCTTGCAAAACATCTAAAAAAAGGTTCTACCAAAAGTAATTGATCCAACTCAGTCAGCCTTTATTGAAAATAGGAATCTTCTCCATGAGGTTTTCATACTTAATGAAATTGTGGTTGAGGTTATAAGGTTTTGAAAAATCATATGACTTTGTGAGTTGGGAGTACTTGACATACATGATGAAGAGGCTCGATTTTTGCAATAAGTGGATAAGTTGGATATTGGAGTGCCTCCACAGAAGCACCGTGTCTATTTTAGTTAATGGAAGTCCTACAGAAGAGTTTATTCCACAAAAAAGTCTCAGGCAGGGTGACCCACTAGTGCCATTCCTGTTCACTATCGTCGTTGAAAGCCTTACGGGGCTCATGAGGATGGCAAATTCTAAAGGTAAATTTGCTGGGTATCAAGTTGGGGAGAAAAAAGTGTCAATCAGCTTATTACAGTATGCATATGACATAATTTTTATCAGAGAGGTAACCATGGAAAATGTAATTACAGTCAAGTGCCTCATAAGGAGTTTTGAATTGACATCAGGACTCAAAGTCAACTTTCACAAAAGTAGTGTGGGCATTTCAAGTGTGAAAAATAGTCTTACAGAAAGGTATGCAGACTTGTTGAATTACAAATCACTCCACTTTCCATTCTCCTATTTGGGCCTTCCAATCGGGGCCTTAACTAGGAGTTTAGTTACATGAAAATCGGTCCTATAGAAGATTAAAGACAAGCTTGCCAATTGGAAACATAGGTTTGTATCTATGGCTGGGAGAGTCTGTTTGATTAACTCAGTGCTATTAGTTGTCCCCCTCTATTACTTGTCATTCCTTAGGATGCCAACATTAATACATAAAAAGTTGATAGCTATTAAAAGGCAATTTCTTTGGGGCATGGACGAAGGGACAAAGAAAATTCGCTGGGTAAAATAGGAAAAGATCATGTCACCAAAAATTCTAGGATGGTTAGGGATAAAGGACATTAAGTGTTTCAATGTCTCTCTACTTGCAAAGTGGCGACGGAACCTGTCCTGTCAAAAAGATAGCTGGTGGAGTTGCATCCTTGACTCAAAATATGGTGGCCATGGTAGCTTGGGAAGGGGACAACGAGGTCAACAACATAGATTCTTGTCTAAGTGGTGGAGGGATCTATAGAAATGTTTTGGAAGTTATGAGCAGTCACAATGGTTTGATAAAATTAAGAGGTGGAGAATTGGGAACGGGGTGAAATTAATTTCTAGGAGGATGTGCGGAAAGGAGAAGAAAGCTTGATACATAAGATCCCACGGGTGTATGTAAACTCAAAGCCAAAAAAGTTATAAGCTAACTGACATGGGTTGCTGGGAGGGAGAGGATTGGCACTGGCAATTCCATTCAAAGAAGTGTACTAAGTACTTAATGGCATTCATATTGTTATGGTTGACCTCACCCAAAAAAATTGTATCACCAATATACTGTAGAAGACAAACCTCAACCTGATCTTTTCGCACCTTATATTCTGAATATAAATTCTTCTCTAATGTCATCCTCCTCATTCCACTTAGTCCTTTTGCCATGACAACAAAAAGAAAAGGGGTAAGAGGGTTTCCTTGTCTAAGACCCTTTTGCACACCAAATTCAAGCGTTGGACTGGCATTAGCAAGCTTAGAGACAAAACTAGTAATCAGACATTTGTAAATCCAATCTCTCAATTTTTATTTTTTTTTTTGCAAAAACCTAGTCTTTGAAGCATGTACAAGAGGAAATCCCATGAAATAGAACCATACATTTCTTTTTTCCTTTTTTTGCCTCATCCAAAGCCTCATTCACAACCAAAATACTATGTAGCAAATTCTTACCACTAAAAAGACTAATCTATGATTGATCAATAATACTTGGAAGGACCATTTTTAGTCTCTTTGACTAAATTTTAGCTAGGATCTTATAGATGCATCCCACCAATGATACTGACCTAAAGTTATTCAACCCCATAGGATCCATTACTTTTTTGGTACCAAAGTTATGAATGAGGAATTGGAGCCTTTAGGTAATTTCCCATTTATAGAAAAATCATTCATGCACCTTATTACGTCTCCTTTTACTAAGCCCTAAATTGAAATTGTAGCCATTCAGCCCTAGACATTTGGCACCATCACATTACCACACAACTTCTTGGATCTCCTTTTCATCAAACTGTGAAATGAGAACATTGTTTTGAACTACTATAATTTGTTGGAAATAAATCACATCCAACCTAGGTCTTTACCACTTATCCTCCTTAATTTCTATTCAAAAAGTTGTTTGACTTCTTTCTTTACCTATCTTGGATCATCAACCCAAGCTCTTGTAATGTTCAAACTCCTTAAGGTATTCTTCCTCCATTTCCAATTAGTTATCATATGAAAATACCAGGTGTTAGAATCACCCTCCAAAAGTCATCTTATTCTATATTTTTGTTTTAATATGGACTCATTACTTAACGACAACTACCAAAATTGTACCTGCACATTCGTCTTAGCTAATTATTCCACCTATGATAATTGTCCCTTTTCTTTCCTTACTATCAAAATCATTTATTTTTTGCTCTACTATTTTGAGTTTTGACTAAATATAGCCAAACTGTCCAACATTCCAAAGTTTCATTTATTCATCCGTTCTCTTTAATTTTCACTTTAGTACAAATGCACCCTGTAACGACCCGCCATGGTCGTCACACTACGGAATAATACAACACACTACTTACTAAAATAGTATAATAAGAATATTTACAACACAAGTTGCTAAGCAAGCAACCAAAAAAATTCAATTATAAATAACAAAATATGTTACTATAAGGTAGCCTACAAAAGGAACATCCACTCTAGGGACCTCCTGTGGCCTCTAGTAGCTATCTCCCAACCTATCCTTGCCCTGCTCCTATACATCGTATGATCATTGTAGTCCAAACCACATGGAAACATGCAAGGGTAAGCTAGAAAAAAATAAACAACTCGTAATAATTAAATATGCAATACAACAACTATATTAT